GCTTAGAAAAAGATTCAGAGAAGAGAGAAAAGAGAGAAGAAATGAATTAGAGAAGACTGTCTGTGTGTTCAGAAACTTGATGGGGTAAGAGTCCATGTGTCTTCTGATTGATACGCACAAGGTAAAGTCTGCAATTTTATGCAAGAAATGAGGTTCGTAAAGGGGTGAGTTAAACTAGTATTTGCTAAGTTGCTGGTAGAAAGGATTTGGTTGCTATAATAGAATAATGTATATAAAATTTTTCTCAGATTGACACTTGTTTATTTGGTTGCAACATAGAAAAAGTGATAATGATAAGCTAGAGATTTTGTGAGACCCAGTTTTCAAACCACTTCCACAGGATTGCCCTTGTTTCGCTTGAGGACAAGCAAAAGGTTAAGTTCGAGGGAGTTGATAGGTCCCATTATTTACCACTTTTCGACCATGTTATAGGCCCTATTTGGCGTCTGTTACATGTGTCTAGGATGTGGTTTAGAGTCTTTTTAAGTTCAAATACATTTTGGAGCTTTGTAGAGATTATGAGGATTTTTGGAGTTCAAAGAGAGAGGAGCCCCATAACTGATCATATTCAGCTAAGTATGAGTCAAAGATAGTGTATCACGTCGATCGACGATTCATTCATGCCGTCGATCGACACGCAGAAGCCCAACTCACAAAGCAGCCGACTTGAACCCCAAGTCACAGAAATTACAAGATTACCCCTGGACAAATTTTACCTATTTTATATGGTCTTTACCAGTGTTTTATGCAAGGGATGGCTTTTTAAAGCTTTCATACTTTCCATAACCAATATAGTAGTTTTGGGTTTTTGGGGGAGAAGATCAAGACTTCTTCAAGCTTTGTATTGGAACCCCATTTTTCTATCCCTATTCTTTATCTTATGCATTTTTGTATGTTTTTGATTATGTCATGCTTAGCTATGTCTAAATAGTCATCTTGTTAGATTTAGAGGTTATTAATGGTTTTGATGATTAGATATATCATCAGATTTGTACTTATTCCATATTCTTGATTAGCTACCTAGAACCTTGTTATTAAGATATTGAGAATTGTGTGATTGCATGATCAATACTTGAAATATTTCTGATGAGCTTAAATTACTAGGGACAATCGAGATAATCGTCTAGTAATTCTAGGTGAACCAATAAAATCAGATCGTTTAGTGCTTGAGTAAGAAAGCCATCTATCGACGTCGTTTGCATATCAATCCGAGTTTGCACACGAAAGTTGTGAACTCTGAGCTTATATGATAAATATAATTATTAATATCTTAACTAATTAAATTCGTGTTCTATGGTTGAAAACTTCTTGAATTCTATCCATTATAATTCACTACTTGAAAACCCTAGATCTAGCTATTTTCGTTTATTGTTTACAAACCAACTATTTTCTTATTTATTATTCGTCTAAGAACTTTCCTAGCATAACTAAGTTAATTATCAAATCTATTGTATACCCTCGCTCGTTGTGGATTTGATCCCTAAGTACTACAGCTGAACCTTTTATTTAGAGAGTAATCAGTAGCTCTAGAGTAATTTGAGCACGTAACAATGATGTGGGTGATTTTATTTATGGTCAGCCTAAAGAGTAAGATGTGGAGATGTTTGAGACGCTAGTTGCACCTAAATATATACCGCTTATTCAAATTTTTGGATGTAAGCCAATTAATCCAAGGTGGTAATTTTTTTTTGGAGCTACACAAAGAGTAGTTAGTATACCGTAAATTCATGTATTTGGGTAAAAACAAATATTCTAAACCGTACATTTGAGGTTATGGTAAATGTGCCTAGCATCACAAAGCTTCAAGCTTTTGTTTTGAAAATAAGTTCTGCTCAGAAGATAAGTCACTGTATTTGGTATATTGTAACACTAACATTTAGCGGTACCGAGGAACCTGACATGTTGTCATATGCGATGTGATAATCACCACCCTCGATGTGAGGAGGCGATGAATCTATTAATCAAGATATTTTGGAATGCCTCCAGCCTTACAAACTGAGGCACTATATTAACCGCCTTCATAAAATTAGGTTGCATATTTCCAGTGTTTATGCAAACGTAGTCTATCTGTTTTGGAGATTAAATTATAATTAAAACCCAAAATTAGATAGAGATCCTTATCTATTTTTAATCTGGTATATCTCTGCAAAGCACACAATGATAAATTACTTAGAGGGATCACAAGATATTCTCTAGATCTGGTAAGGAAGAGGGGGACTGTCAAGCGTGATTTGAAGCAAATGCAACAATCACGGAGGGAGGGCAATCACTACATGAGTCAAAGACACCTTAAACCGTAAGCTTGCAGAGTGTATGTTAAGTGGATGGCTCATGGACTTATGAGGCAGATTTCAGTGGATGTGGATGAGTACAGAAAAATTATTCAGGAAAATAGCAACTTTCAGAATAAAGAATCAAAGGAGGTGCATCTCATCTCTGTATACGAGCTAGAAGCGCTAACTTGAACTATCAAAAGTGTGCTTCAATTCTCAACATGTGAACAACTCAAAACAGACTGCAATGATCTAATCTATATAATTCACAAACAAACATCATTACCAAACTTTTCAATAGAACTGAAGGATTTAGCCGTTTTAAAGGAAATGTTTCAAGACTTCAAGATTGTCTACCATCCTCGCGCTCAAAACCGAACTTTCGATTTTTTAGCTAACATTTTTCATAGGAGTTTTCTTTTTCGGGTTTTGTTTTCCGGTCTAACTTTGCATAACCCATCTTTTTGAGTAATATAATAGCCTTTTGATGTAAAAAAAAATGTAAGATTAGTTAGTTTGGTGATAGGTCTATATCGGCCGCACGCATTACGCCTAACGCAATTCTGAACACTGGTATTAACATATTAATAAAATTTTCATAAGTCTGGAAAGGTTATTTGGGAAATCTATTAAAATTTGTATTTCATAAATCATTTTTTTTCAGTGGTTAAACTATTTTGTGATTTGTATATATGTGTATATATGCCTTGTTACTTGAATGTTGTTTTATTTAGACTAGATATTTTTCCGTGCTAAGCGCGGATAATTGTCTATTAAATTTTATTACTAATTTTCTTGTGTTAATATAAATACTGTATAATTTTCATGTGTATATAAACGATGTAGTGTTTAGGATATAATGTAAGAGGTGAGAGATGTTCTATTTACGATGTTTGAATGTTGAGTATATTTTTTCTCGCATTTTTAAACAAAAATCATTTTATTAGTTTGCTAAAATACCAAAACAGAGTTTAGAATATATAGCAGTTCAGATAATGTGAGAAAGTTGTTTTTATATACATGAGTTAGAGTAAATTCGTGTAGCCGATGATGGTGTGAAAAATAGATTTCCTATAAATAAGAATTATTAACCAGCATGTATTATATTTTAAAGTTTGTATTTGTTTTGACCTTTGTATATTTTGGGATAAAACTTATCACCATAACAATTTTATATTTGCTAGTTAGTTATGCTTTGCAGCTCCTGAACAGAGATGTTTGGTTGTCTAATAGTGTAAGGTTAAAAATTATCAATCTATTGAATCATTTATAATATATTGACATTTAAGTTACATAACATTTAATAACAATATATTTTAAAGCTAATGTATTGCTTATTTTTACTATAAAGAAATATTTTAAATCAATTATGATTTAGTATTCTATAAATTAATTATTATTATATCATTATTCATATTAATAAAATTTTAAAATATGTTAAAGATATGTTTATAAATGTGTTTATATTGTGGAAAATGAGTATATTATTTGGAAAACTAAAATCATACTTTCTAAATATTATACAGATTGGTCGTTCTATATAGTATACTATTTTGATTACTTTTTATTATAAATTTAGTTATCTATATTTTAGCGATAAATTGGATTAAAATTGATTAATTCTATCAAAGAATAGTAAAATAGTTTTTTCTTTAATCAAAAGAGCACACAGAAAAAGAAAATTTCTAAAATATGTTTCAATATAAAGATAAAAGATATTTTTATCATGGCTTTATAGATATATAAATATAAATAAATATATAAAGTTCAAAAGACTGTCAAAAAAATTGGTCAAGAACTAATGAGAAAAAACTATGGGAAAATTTTAATGTGTATATACAAAAAGAAAAGTTAAAAGAGAATAAAGAACTAAGAGGGAAACAAAAATAACAAAAACCAAGCAAAAGCATATACATAAGCCAAAATTAATTATACCTCATAATTCGGAAGAAATAACAATCACACAATTATATATAAACCATTTAATAATCATTCAATCACAAAACTTAATGAAAAATAAAAATAAATAAAAAACGAAAATAACAAATCACAATTAACTTATTGGAAAATGCCTAAAAAGTTTTTAGCAACAGCCATCAGATATTACAGACGAAAGGTATTAGAAAATTGTCTCTTGGATTATTTACCTTCCAAGCCTTAAAATACTGCTGACACCTTTCAAGATGCTTATCTTGGTTTCTTTTTTTGGACATATAAAATCCTACAACAATCATCATATTTCTTTTTGAATTAGGCACATAGACGAAGGATGTTCGGTGAAGAACATGGGAAGAGCTCCAATTTCAGATCGATGTTGCAATCACATTTGATGGTACGTACATATGGTTATGTGCCCTATATAGTATTCCAAAGAGTTGTGATAGGATTTCCGAGAACTACTTCACATTCCGAAAAAGGTCACAGAATTTCACTTCCACAGCTGGAAAACTCTATACAACCCCTGCAGATACATGTGTTACAATGGATTAAAAGGTTGTGATAAAAACATTACAATCAGGAACACAAATAGACATCGCAACGTGGCTTACTCATCGATCCTCTTCCTTATCTTTGTGAGTAAATGGAGGCTATAAGCCTTGATTTGTTTGTCAAGTTTTTAAGTCAAACAAATGTCTCTCATCAGCCTTAAGTTTAGTAACATTAATGAGTCTCGCTTCATCCGAAGCTTCATGTCTCTGAATCAGATATTTTTACGTTGGTAATCTCTCAGGCAAACCCCCACTGCGACCGTAACTCCTCCTGCTCATCATCAACACTATTTACAGAACCAAACTCATCGTTTAAAGACTTTTCCTTGCATCATCATCTGCAACTGTTTGAACCACTGCCAGATAAAAGAAAAGCAAAGGAACTTAGCAAACATCATATGAAGAATAAGCTTGAAAATGGTCTATTAAGGAGAATTGCCCTAAGATTTAACATATTACAACTAATTAAACTAACATTCAATAATTATCATGTGTGGAGTTACCATCGGATGATAGGTACCTTCTTTTATAATTATCTAAAAGACCTTCACCGTGTTTTAGCTAAAGACTATCGAGTAGAGACACCGTGCAACAGTTTGACAAAACCTAAGAAGGTAGAATGGTATGGACTGGGATCGATGATCCAACACCAAGTTCCGACAGAAAAAAACATGTATAACCTCCCTTTAAAACTTAGCTGAAAACATAGTGAATAAATAGTCCCACGTGACCAAGACAAACTTACCGAAGCGAGTACTTTGATGACGATAACTCTGTTTCCATTCATCTCAAAGAGCTCATAAGCATGGCGAACACTCTGCTCCCAACAATCAAGTGACTCATGCTGATGAACACTGATGGAAGCTGCACAAAACTCTTCAAAATCCATCCCTTGGTATTCTAGTCCATTTAACTGTCATTAACACCCAAACCTTTTGTTAGTCAAACAGGGTAAGCAAGAATGTGAGGCTTTAGTGTCTCTTGGGCCATCTCTGACTGGGCTTCAAGTGGGCTTCGGGTTTTAACCTGATCAAAACACAAGCAACATAATCAAGGTCCAATTAGGAGTATTATACCTAATGGTATTAGGAAAAACGTATTCCTTTTACAACAAGGAAGTACGTGATTAGGTCAGTATAAATATGTGTCTCATCTCTTGTTGTTATACACAGAAACATATAATCTCTCTAGAACTCAAAAGCTTGTAACGTTTTCAATTCAATAGTGAAACAAAGTCATCTTCGGTTTGGAGTTTGGACTTGCCAAAACATATTGCGTTTGTTACAAGTAACCGAGATTGATTCTCTACAAGTGGTATCAGAGCTTAGGCTAAAAGAGATCCAAGTACAGAAATTCAAAAGCAAGATTCAACAAAGCAAGCAAGGAGGATTCTTATCTGGTGTGATATAGAAGACTCGGGCTCGTGGTATTTGAAGCTTGAAGGTTAACAGTGTGTTACAATAACCTGCAAGCAAAGAGACAAAGTTTACAGGTTATATAGAGGGATGGAAGCTACTCCAAGAAAATTTGAAGTAGAAAAGTTCGATGGAAAAGGTGATTTTGGTCTGTGGAAATACAAGATGTTATGTCAGCTTGAGATTGTAGGTTTAGGTTCTGTTCTCAAAGAGAAAATTCCTTCTACGGATGATGATGATGAAGGTGGAGGACTGACGAATCTTAAACCTGATCCTAAGGCTCAAGATAGGGAGCTACGCACAAAGAATTTGATCAGTATGTGTCTATCTGATCTAATTCTTCGGAAGGTCATGAATGAACCGACAGCACTTGATATGTGGAAGGCATTGGAAGCTGAGTATCAGACAAAGACACTACCTAATCGAATCTACATGAAGCAACGATATGCAGGCTTTAGAATGGAAGAACACAAGTCTATTGAGGAGAACCTAGACGTGTTTCTAAAAATTGTAGCTGATCTAGCTAGTCTAGATATAAAGATCAGTGACGAAGACCAAGCTATTCAGATTCTAACAACTTGCCTAAGAAATATGAGTCTCTAGTTGATGCTCTCAAGTATGGAAGCGGGAAGGAGACTCTAACAGTCCGGGATGTTACAAGTTCAGCTTACTCTAAGGAAGTAGAACTAAGAGAGAAGGGTCTTCTAAACAAATCTAAAAGCAACTCGGAAGGACTATTTGCTGGAAATAACAGAGGCAGGGGAGAGAAAAAGAATGATAAGTCTTGGAGAGCAAGATCAAAGAGTAAGAACAGAGCACAATCAAGACCTAAATATTCTAAGGAATGTTGGACGTGTGGAAAGGAAGGACATTTTAAAAAACAATGTCCGGAGAGAAAGAACCAGAATTCGGCCAACATAGCAGAAGAAAAGCAGCAGCCTTTAGTGTTAATAGCTAGCCAGCAAGATACAAAGGATGAGTGGGTACTTGATTCTGGATGTACATTTCATATTACTCCGAATAAAGATGTTTTATTCGACCTTAAAAACATAGAAGGAGGAAAGGTTTTGATGGGGAACAACACAGTTAGTGAGATTAAAGGAATTAGGAAAGTCAGAATTATGAACGATGATGGTTCAAGCGTGATTCTCACTGATGTTCGATATATGCCTTCTATGGGGAGAAATCTGATTTCTTACGGCTTACTGGAAAAGATGGGGTGCAGGTATGAAGGCAGAGACTTCAAGGTGCAGTTTTACAAAGGAGATAAGAAGGTAATTTCGGGAAAATATTGTGATGGCTTGTACTACTTACAAGGGACAGTATTGGATGGTGAAGCTGCAGTTGCAAGACCAGATATTGATCTAACTAAGAGGTGGCACTCTAGACTCGGTCATATGAGTCTTAAGTGTATGAATATCTTAGTTAAGCAAGGATACCTAATCGAGAAGGATGTTAAGACTTTGGAGTTTTGTGAAAGTTGTGTTTTGGGAAAAGCACATAAGTTAAGCTTTCCTAAAGGGAAACACACATCTAAAGAAGTCCTAGAATATGTCCACTCAGACTTATGGGGTTCACCTTCGGTAGTTGAAAGTCTAGGAGGCTGCTATTACTTTGTCACTTTCATTGATGATTTTTCTAGGAAAGTATGGATCTATTTCCTAAAATCAAAGGATGAAGTATTTCAGAACTTCAAGGAATGGAAGACAAGCGTGGAGACTGAGACCGGAAAGAAGGTGAAGTGTCTTAGGACAGACAACGGTTTGGAGTTTTGCAATACACAGATGGACACTTTGTGTAAGGAAGCAGGGATTAAAAGACACAGAACATGCGTCTACACCCCGCAACAAAACGGAGTGTCAGAACGCATGAACCGTACTATTATGGAGAAGGTGAGGTGTATGTTGACGGAAGCTGGTTTGGAACAGAAGTTCTGGGCTGAAGCAGCCTCAACAGCCGTCTACTTAATTAACCGATCTCCATGTTCAGCTATCAACTTCAAACTACCAGAGGAAGTATGGTCTGGAACTAAAACAGATCTGAACCATCTAAGGAAGTTTGGTTGCACCGCGTATGTTCATGTTACTCAAGCAAAGACAAGTCCTAGAGCAGTGAAAGGCGTTTTCATGGGATATCCTAAAGGGACTAAAGGCTATCGAGTATGGTTACCAGAAGAGCTAAGGTGCACAGTAAGCAGGAACGTGATATTCAACGAAGAAGAAATGTTTAAAGACATTAAAGGAATCAGTGAAAAGAAGAAGAAAGTAAAGAAAGTCACTTTCAATCTAGCCTTGATTCAAGGACCTTCGAGCACAACTACAGACGCTGAGACAGGGGATTTAGTTCAAGGTGGAGTTTCTTCTACAACAGAGAACTCGGGATCAGATTCCTCAAGCTCAGATGGTGACAAAGATGTTGTGGAAACTAACCAGGAGAACTTAGAAAGCTACATTCTAGCTAGAGACAGAGCCAGGAGAAACATAAAGAAACCATCAAGATTTGATGATTCAGATTGCGTGGCCTACGCCTTGGCCACAGCAGAAGAACTAAATATGGATGAGCCTAAATCCTATTTAGAAGCCAGAAGGAGTAAGAGCTGGGAGTCTTGGAACGCAGGAATGAAAGAAGAAATGGACTCGCTAGAAAAGAATAAAACTTGGAAAATAGTAGAAAAACCTAAGAATAAAAAGGTTATTGGCAGTAAGTGGATTTTCAAGTTAAAAGAAGGCATTCCAGGAGTTGAGAAGCCAAGATACAAAGCAAGGTTAGTGGCTAAAGGGTTTTCACAAGTTGAAGGAATTGATTACACAGAGGTGTTTGCACCAGTGGTGAAACACGTGTCAATCAGAATCATGCTGTCACTTGTTACAAATTTTGATCTAGATTTGGAACAGTTAGATGTGAAAACGGCTTTCTTATACGGAACACTAGACGAGGAGATCTACATGGCACAGCCAGAGGGTTTTGTAGAAAAAGGAAAAGAAGATCAAGTGTGTCTCCTGTTAAAATCCCTTTACAGATTAAAACAGTCACCAAGACAATGGAACAGAAGATTTGACGGTTTCATGAAGGAACAGGGTTTTGATAGAAGTCTATACGATCCTTGTGTCTACATTAAAGGCTCAGACTTATCTAATATAGTCTATCTTTTGATCTATGTTGATGATATGTTAATAGCATCAAAAGACACTAAAGAAATTCAGAGGATCAAAGATAGCTTGAAAAGGGAATTCGAGATGAAGGACCTAGGGGCAGCTTCAAGGATACTTGGGATGGATATTATTAGAAACCGGGAGAATGGTACTCTAAAACTATCACAGGGAAAGTATTTGCAGAAGGTGCTGGAAATGTTTAATATGGCCGAGAGCAAAGCTGTGGTTACTCCTATCGGACCACAGTTTAAACTTAAAAGCTTGACACAAGAAGAAGAAAATGAAGAAGCAAGACACATGAGTGAAATACCATATGCATCAGCTGTTGGAAGCTTGATGTATGCAATGGTGGGATCAAGACCAGATCTATGCTTCGCAGTAGGATTAATCAGCCGTTACATGGGTAAACCAGGAAGGCAAAACTGGGAAGCAGTTAAATGGGTACTAAGATACGTAATGGGAGCTTTAAATTCAGACCTAACGTTTACTAAAGGAGAAGGGTTTAAAGTTCAAGGATTCTACGATGCAGACTATGCAACCGATCTAGATAGAAGAAGATCGGTTACAGGGTATGTGTTTCAAGTCGGAGGCAACACTATAAGCTGGAGATCAGGTCTCCAACATATTGTTGCTCTATCAACGACTGAATCAGAATACATGGCACTAGCAGAAGCATTTAAAGAAGCATTATGGCTAAAAGGCTTTGTTACAGAGTTAGGGTTTAAACAAGACGATGTGAAGGTATTTTCAGACTCTCAGAGTGCTATACACTTAGCCAAGAATGGAGGTTTCCATGAAAGGACTAAGCATATAGACACGAGACTACATTTTATGAGGGATGTAATTGAAGCTGGCAACGTTACAGTTCATAAGATTCATACATCTATCAACCCTGCGGATTTCCTAACTAAGTGTGTACCTGGACAAAAGTTTGAGACATGCTTGGAGATCCTCAAAGTCCTGCCATAGTAGGCTCGAGTGGCTGCAGGTGACAATACTGTCGAGTTGTTCACCTCGCGGAAAGGCCACAAGATAAGTGTCAGTTTCAGGAAAAGTAAACTGATGATTCGACAGAAGTTATTTGAAGCTTGAGACAAGTTCAGAAAAGATTACCTTTGAGGAATGGTGGTGGACAGGAGTCGTCTACACAAAGCAATCCGCAAAATTTAATTAATACTAGTCAAAAATTTTATTTTGCAGAAGAAGGAAGTATCAGATGTTATACCTGAGGATGTACGAGTTGTTGCGGCAAGTCTTCATCAACAACAACAAAGCTGTGAACATAAAGCTATTAGTTCACAGGTTCAAAGCTCTCAAGAAAT